ACACACACACACCTCAAACAGCACAGCGAGTGCTGTGATTTTGCCTCCAGCCTTGATGGCTTCATCTAAGGAGTCGAAGGATTGAGCCTCATAACAGTAGATCTGCATCTGTGGAAGAAAACATAAGATTAACTTGACAAGTAGCAGCAGACAGTCATGTGTCTGTAGGGATACACTGTTTACTCTGATACACTTTTCAGCCGGACTGTTCCTGTTCTTTATGCATTTTAGCTACAGCAACATGACAACCTTTGTGACTCAGCAATAACACATGCACAAACATTGTTTTATGTTAGAAAAATAATCAAGTCTTTCAAACTTTATACTTATTCTTGTCCCACAAAATAAAGTCACAAGTTTTCTTATCTTGGTCCACCATGCGCAGGCCCAGTGGTGCCCACTGCCTATGTTTGACTGTTTTCATATCTGTCAATAGTACAACAATCAAGAGACACAAAAACCACAAAAAGAAGGAACGCACTACAAAAATGTGCATTCTCCTATGTAGAGAGATAAAAGCTAAAGATGTAAAAATATAACTTCATATGTTAAATTAAAATCAGTGAATTATTGGCGTGCTTTTTCACACCAGGATTCGTGTCCATAAGAAAAAAAACTAGAAATCTGACTGAAACCTACATAAACAAATTCTTTTGTTTCCTCTTTGAACGTAGAAAACACACTTGACAACACATTGAACCACTGATCATTAAAACTGCACAAATCCTAGCACCACATGTTCTTGCACCAAAACATTCGTGTGAAAACCAGCAGCCTGCACTATTCATGAAATGGGAGAAATCTCTTATCTTCTTTGTTCATTGATTAACCTAAATGTTTCTTGGGGTGACACACAACGGGTGATATCGGTCGCTTTCAGTTGCAAATTTAAGATAAGATAAGATAATCCTTTATTGGTCCCACAGTAGGGAAATTTGCAAGATGTAGTTATGAAGTAAAAAAAAGCTCAAAGTGAGCTAGAGCTGTGATAACAGGCTGCTGCTAGGGAGGCAGCATCGTGGATCTCTCACCTCTAGAGGGTATTTGACTCCATCCAGACTGTGTTCTGAGCCGTATGAAGAGGCATTGCAGCGCCCCCAGTGGAACGTAATACGCCCCACCTTGAACTTTGACCTGAGGCCACCTCCAGTAACATAAAACTCTTCATCCACATCCACCGCCACTGAGAGGAGAGAAGACACAGACATGAGCATAAACATTCAATTCAGTTTTATTCGTATAGTGCCAAATCACAACATAAATCATCTCAAAGCAATCTATAATAATAATAATGATTATAATAATAATAATAATAGAGTAGTACATGATAAATAAATGACAGTATATACCTGACACTGGATGCAAAGTATTTTTGAGTTGTACTGTGTTGATGTAAATACACATCCAATGCTCCACTTCATGAAACAAAAGTATTTGTGTTTAAAGTAAAAATGATGATTATTTTTAGAATTGATTAAAGTTTCATCTGCATACAAACTTTAGCAGCCAGATCCAATGTGTCTACTGTTTTTAAAGCGCTGAACACAAGAACACAACACGGTCAAATTATAAAATCTACAGAAGATCAAACGATCAGAGCTTACACTACATTATACTCCACCGACGCCTTCATTGGGTTAGCATCAAATAATGATTCAGACAATAATGGGATCATCTTCAGGCTGGTCTTTGTTTGACCTGACAAAAGGTCTCATTTAGGATCAAAACCTTCTTTGATGCTCTGATAAACGTGGAGAGTTATACAGACCTTTTATCCTCTGTGCTATCCTGTACATCTCAGTCCACCACCTTCACAACAGAATGGCCATGTGGCTATTGTGTTGTATGGATAATGCATATCTTTCATGTGAATGCCCGGATGAAATTCAGTCTTCGCAAAGTCATCAATCTGCTGAGCACTTGAGCTCTGCACCCTTGTCCTCTTTGTTGTCTGCGGTCTGTGTGTGTCATGGTGTTTTCTTTTAACCCCGTCTAAAATCGAATTTCCCCTCGAGGGAGGGCAAATATTGACTAAACGTGTTGCTGATTCACTCGTGTTGAAAACTTTGTTTGCACCATGTCAAAAGTGTGAATATATCCGTACGCTACATCCATCAGCCCCCTTTCTCAAACTGAAATCATCCACTTGTAGCCATGTATTCTCCTGGGGGCCCTGGGAGCTTTGTGAAGAGTGTGTATGGAATCTACACTGGGCTCATTTGTGTGCTGATCAAAACAGGTTTGAGTAGTCAGCCTTGCACCGTGCTCAGATTGTCCACCAAACATCTCCATTAATAAAAGCCTATAGTGCAGCTGGCAGCCAAACAACAACTACAACGGGGTGATTCTTTTTTTTCGCTGAGAGTCCTGTTGCTAAGAAGCGCTGGACTCGTCTGTTTGGAACTTTTTGAAAGGAGAGGCTGGACCCCTCATGTCTACAATTTCACATAACAATAACCTTGAATGCACACTGCAGGTTATTGTGTTTCACACCACTTAGAGAGAGGAAATATATGAAAGACTCTCAATTCCGTCAAATGAGAAACTGGTAACTGTATCCTTTACAATAGGATGCCACTGTATGAGAAAGGGCTCTATCGCTCAGTATCTATTTGGGACAAACTGTCACTGGGAGAGAAGGTGGGGTGGGGTCTGGGGGATGATTAAGGAAGGAAGTAAAGAGATGGCTGTTTCATTGATGGAGGTCAGGACTGATGTTTCTCATTGTTGTTGTAAGATAGCGTCAATATCAGAGATAAGAAATTCATATATCAGAAGTCTTTTTCATTTTGCTTCATCTTTAAACCATTAAGCTCATGTTAAAGTTGCAGGGTGAAACATTTATCTCCCGTCTGGCAGTGAGAGCAATTACACAAACACTGTCCATTGATCACTTTCTTTCAGACCGTCTTCTTAACACCAAGTTCTTTATTTCATTGGGTGATTGGAAACTTTACTCGGACACTACCTAAGTTGTTGCTGTAGCCTCCTCTGTCTTTGCTGCTTCTGTCTTCAGCAAACCAGTCATTGATAATTGATATAAAATGCATCACAGCTCATGCACAGAGCAGAAATATTGTCAGAGAAACCAGATTCAATGTCTTGTTTACACTACTACGTAAATTCTTTCAGCAGATATTGTCTTATATAAAAAAAATTCCATCAACATGGCCTTGAATTACAAAATATCTCCGTTAATAGACAATAAGACAAAAACAACTACAGACACTCTAACAAGCATGCCGGGCCCATAGGTTTCAATAACGTCTACATCGATGATGCATCAAATATCAGAGAAGACACTGTGGTCCAATCACTACTGAAGCAGCATGATCGTGGAGTGATGTTTGTGTTCACTTTATAAGTCATTCTGTCGGAATGCTACCACATTAACAGTTGACTGTTCTCACCGGTCTTGCCATCATTCTTGATGGTGGTCCTTTCGGTTGTCAGACTTTCCCAGCCTTCAAACTGTAACTTCTGATACTGCAGCTTCACCTGAGCCAGGTTCTCCTCGATGTTGATGGGAGACTGCTTGGCGTTGCTGCAAGATGGAAACTTCTTGGCCCAGTTGTTTTGGTTTAATGTTCCTAAAAAGAAGACATACAGAAGAAGTGGTACCCTCATTGACACAAATGTAAAAAAATATACAACATAATACAATAGTCAAAAACCAAACACCTATATCTTCCGACGTGATCTTGAATTGACAGCTATGACTAACCAATTACACACAACTGTGGGCAACATTAAGGTTTAGTTATTCACATAATACTTCTTTTAGGTCTGTGCAGTTGGGGCCCTTCAAGCATAGCGGCCATGCAGACAAACAATTGGTGGGTACATGGACATCCCACAGAAAATCTTGCAAATACCCTTTAATGACAAAATTGAAGTCACACTGACCCCTTCACATTTGTAGATGTGGAAGTATAACACTACCTTCAAAAAGACAATATTAAGAGACTTTTAAATAAGTCAATCTAACTAAAACTGTAAAATGGCAGGAACAAGATAATTTTCCAGGTCAAAATATTATCTCCCAATATAAATACAGTATAGCCACTTTACTAGGTCAATTCAATTATGTGTGTCACCAATAATAGTTAGTGGTGTTGTGTTAGGCTGTATTTTATTAGACTAGTGCTGTACACGTTCTAAACCTGCCTGTTTGAAATGAGCTGCTTGTTTTTCTTGTGTTCATGCTCCATATAAAGGATTGCAGCAACAATACAAACATTATGCTTTGCAGAAAATGATTCGTGATTAGATGAACAGTTTGCGGGATACACACTCCACATACAAACAGACAGATGTTTGTGGATTCAGTAGATGAATGAAAATATGGAGGACAACAGCAGAAACAGCTTTCAACAGAATATAATTGACCAAACAATGATATTGTGATTTGATAGTTGTTCAGACTGACAAAGTGCAGACTTCTCACTCAATTATACACACCAATTATGCAATGAGTGCTCACAGGGGCTGCTCTCAAAGAGCTAGCTTTGAGCTAAAAAGCTAATAACCTCCAGCTGTTCTGCTGCACTCGAGCTTTAGAACTAATATCAGCTCACATTTTCTCCTCTGAGGTCAAAGTCCAGGATTTTTAAATGTGCCAGCAGACTTTCTCTGAAACACAGCGTTCCACTAACTGAGGCTCACGGAAAGGGTTCAGCATCAGGTTTCCTCTTTCCTGACATGATAAATGACACAAATACAGTATGGAAAGTGGTACAGCCAGAAATACAAATTATCCCTCACAAAGATGTTCATCCATTTGTGAGTGTTTCAGCTGCACTTCAATCTGAACAGATTGAATCCAGCAGTTCACAGTCACGTCAAACTGATCTACAGCCTCAGGCTTATTGTTTCACTTTTATTGGAGAAAACAGTGAGGTTGGCTGCAATCGAAAACGAAAAGTCCATGTACTGATGACATATTCTGCTGCTGCTGCACCTGCACTGAGTAGGAGGACTACATGTGGATTTATTCACATCTGTTCTGAGTTATATCTTCACTCCACATCTAGTTATATTCAGGAGATGAGATACAGCTACAGAAGCTGTCGTCTGTGTGATTTACTGTGTCACTCGTTAACAGCCAGCAGCCGTATATCAAATACTACATTATTTAAACGTGACACACCAAATAGAATGTGTGTGTGTGTGTATAGAACAGGGAATATATATATTTCCTGTTACTTCCAGCACCCCTACAAGGTCAACCCATGATCTTAATCAATGTGCTTAACATTATCATAATAACAGACAGAGAAGTTCCCTTTACCATATGGACCCAAACCGAGACGTCAATGACCTGAACTACTTTATATGAACTCAAACCTACAGCTGGTCAAGCTGATTGTGTGACCAAACCGAAACTGCTGACACACATTGTTCTGGACTGCCATTTAACTTTGTTGCAATTTGCTTGTAAAGTCAGCAGAGACATTTTAAATCAAGTTTCACCATTTGCTTCTTTCTTTTAAAAAAAATAACTGACTCTTTTTCCTGGAATCCATCATTTCCATAATTCAGGCTCTGTGTGAACCACTGCTCAGGTCTGTTTGATGAAGAACAAATGACAGCCTGTTTCTGATGGAATCTGTAAGCTGTCATACTGAGCCTCTGTCATTTGTTTGTTAGATACACACCCAGTCATGGATAATATCTACTGTAGCTGTCGTGCTAGTGTGTTTGAAGTCATTTATTGTAAGTTGTCTGATAGCATTAGAGTCTAGGAAGGTGAAGCCCCACCCTGGTGCCCCGGCCTCATCGTCACAATTATTATAATTTGCTCATTAAAACCTGTTCCCAGTAAGATGCGTAAATTTTTCAAATTACATCTCAACAATGAGCAGGATGACTAAATTATGGGTTGTTTTTGGAGCCATTAAATCTTGACATAGATATAAGGAACTGCACTTTCAGAAGCTTTACCTTTATTCAAGACTGCCACTTTTAATTCCTGTTTTTACTACATACTATTACCTCCGCCACAGAGGTTATGTTTTAGTCTGTGTTTGTTTGTTTGTTGCTAAGCAGGATCACGTAATCCAGCATCAAGGTCAGGGGGTGGATCCAGGAATTTATTTTCAATTTAACATTGCAAAATACATGTAGGTTGATGGATCTTGATGAAAAAAATCTGAGATATTTAGGGGGCTGATATTAATGAGTGTTGGCAGAGGTGTGTGCTCTGCTGAGTGCCCTTAGTTATGATCTGTTTTGAATTATTTCTCAGTGTAACTGTGAGCATCTCCGATGTAGACAACAAAAGTTAAAATTCAAATGCAGTTTTTACCATCAAACTTGCATCAGCCACAAAAAATGTTTTTTAAATTGGTTTATGAGCCAAACTAATCCACATTCCTTCTCGACAACAGGAAACAAGCCACATGTTCATACTAACGACCTCCCTGTAATCGTGCAGATGTTTGCAGCTACTTCACTCGTGCTAATTATGTCTTGTAGTGTTGTTTCAACCAGCTGGTGTTTGTGTTTGTGAGCAGGTGCATCAGCGGTCACATGACCCACACACCCTTCCATCCTTGCTCTTGATTTGTTGTTAGAGGCTTCTTCCTCCAGAGGACAAAGAGCTGAACCAGGTCAGAGAGGCTTCTGGGTCAGGATGGATATTACCATGTCACACACACACACAACGCACATACACACACACACAAACACACCACACGCACATATACTGTTCACACACACACAGACGACCCTCATATAAAGGTCCCTGTAAACTTTACCTTTGACAACTGAAACACAGTAACATGAGGTCACTGTGAAGTTGACCTTTGACCTCAATGGCAGCAAATTCGAATCAGTTCATCTTTGAGTTCAAGTGAATGTTTGGGCCAAATGCGAAGACACTCCCTCAAGCCGATCTTAAGATATCACGTTTGTCACTTATCAAATGAAATATCTCAGCAGACATTAATTGTCCCCAGAGCATGAACCCTAATGACTTTGGTAACCACTTGAAGTTTTCCACTGGTGACACCATGAAATAGACAGTTTTGGCTTTTGAGGGACATATCTCAGCACCTATCAGATTGAAATGTCATGAAATCTTGCCCCCGAGCTGCTAGCATGACTGCACTAACTACAGTAGAAGAGAGCACAGACACTGTCTCCTACATAATTTCAATTTTAAATAAATGGTCATATTTTTGCTGAAGGGTTTTGTGAACTGTGAGTGCAATATTTAAATAGCACAAATAGCTGATAAGATGATGATAGATACAGAACACAACATTAAATATATATATTTATACAACTGAGAGCTTGTGAACTAATTAACAAAAATACATCTCTCATCTCATTTAAGTCATGTTTCACTGCTTCAGAAGCAAAATCAGAACAAGATGGTGTAAAATATATTTTAGTAGTTCAACACAAAATCAGACTTTTATTACACCTATAGTACAGTTTATTATTCTCTAAAAGAGAAGAGAATTCAGTCCATTGCTCAAGGGGCAGAGGTTAAATCCAGCAGCAGCAGCCTCTAAATACAAATGCGTAGTGCTAACCAGGGTTTCCCTCTCAACTAATTTCATGTTTAGGTTTAGAAAAAAGATGAAGCTTTGAGTGAAAACAGAACATTTCACATTGTTAACAACATGTTAGAGTCCTCTTACTGAAGTGGTCCAGAGGAACATAGAACCCAGGTGTAAATAACACTGTTGGCCATACACACCTGGGTCAAATGGCACCTGAATAATGGTGGTTGTTTTAAATATGCTGTATAAATAAACTGTGACCTGACTATTCTTTTGAAACCTGTTTAAGGCAATAACGTGACTCCATGCTCAACATTCTTCTTGTGGGATTTCAATATTTCAACAACAGCAGCGGGAAAACACTTGATTACTTTCCAGACACAACACATATTTAACAGTGCCTGGCATCAGGCTTGTGGGACTTGATGTGATCCAGATGACCTCACACTGGACTCATTAAAATCTCTATTCTTGCTAAATAAAATGCTAAATGTTACATTTGTAAATATCTCCCATAGAGTGTAACCATAAGCCAGTAAGATGCCATGTGACACAGAATACATTTTTATATTATGTATCAGCATGTTCCATATCTTAATTGGAAAGTGATTGGAAATTAATTATAAGACCAAATTCAAAAACTACAAATGGAACATGCTGTTACAGTTACTAAATTGCCAAAACACTGAACCACATTCTCTAAACAAAAACTGTAAAAACAACTTTATCAAATCAACACATTTAGCAGTGGTGGTGCACTCTGACCCAGACTGACACACAGGCCCTAAAGGTTAAACACAACTAACTAACCTGTTGTCATCGTTAACACATCACCACCACACGAGGCTAATCGTGTTACTTTGTGACCATACAACACTCAGCGTCAGAAATGTAATGTAATCAGAAAAAGAAATTGCAAAAATAATAATTATGTGTTTTTCTTTAGGAAGAGATTAGGGTGGTAGATCTCGGCTTACGTTTGGAATTAAAAAGTGATCTTGAAAAGATGGTGACCAATGCTCTACTGGATGACTTGCTCAGACATGAGACATTGTGGTAGAAAGTGTAGCAAAACCCACATACCCCATAAAATCTCCTCCTGTCAGTGGATCTAGCATGTGATGATGTAAGGGTGTAATCTAGTCAAAAATGGATTTAGGATTCTCTGTTTCTTAGCAAGGGAGAAGATTAATATATTAATAATAATAATAAAAAACAGTTTTTGTAATTTTTCAGTAAAGATTGTCTTTTCCTCTTTGCTCAGAGTGAAGTGTTTGTATTTATTAATGTACTGTGTAATGTTTATGCATTCGCTGGCTTTGTGTGTTAATGGCAGTGTTTGGTTTTGGGTAAAGATGAAATTGTTTTGAATCAATAGTTTTGATTTTGCAAGACAAGTTAAAGGTTTTTGTGAGTGTAGCTTGAATTTCGGGGGTTTGTGTTTACTGTTTTAAGAAATGGAGAGGAAGTTTCAGGAAATGCATTTAAGCCATTCAAAAAAACTATAATAAATTAACAAAATATTTGTAGACCACTAGAATCACTTAGTCTTTGTTAACAAACAAGCAGCATCTCGGAGCCCATTGGGCATAATTTGATATTCACACGCAGAATCTATTTATAGAGATTAGCCGGCAGCTAACTGGCGTCGACACCATGGAACTACATTCTACTTTTGCTTACAGTTACACACCCACAGATGCTTTGAGGCGTTGAGTGAAAGGAGGTGTTATTACACAGTGGCACGCAGAACTGTCACAAAACTAACACCGAACCGTAGTAAAGCCACTGATGTCGCTCAACAGGAAAACCTCCTGACTAGTGACTGACGGCTTCAACAAGCAGAGGGAGGGAATGTGTTGCCTGCAGAGCTTTTGATAAACTTAACTCACCTGCGTATGACCAGTCGATGTCTTCTGAGAACTTGCGCTGATTTCTGTAAGCATATCCTTCAGCTGTAAGAGGGAGAGAGAGAGAAAGAGAGAGAGCATTATTTAAACAATAAGAAATAAGAGATTAAATGCCATTCACCCATTCACAAACACATTCATCAATGTGCAGCACTTTCTCCATCTCACATCAATCATCCACTGTTGGGAGAGCCATCAGGGGACAATTTGGGACTCAGTACCTTTGGCCTGCAAAATGGGGGAAACTGGGATCAAACTGTCCACCTTCTCTTTTGTGGAAAACCCGCTCTACCACCTGAGACACAGCCGCCAAGTGACAGGACTCACACATTTTGTTTAAAATATGCAAAAATATCTTTAGTGCTTTAGTGTTTCTTTCTCTCTAAATTCAAACAGTGACTCAGTCCATGTACTTCAAGTGTTACTTCAGTTGTATATATATTCATTAGTCGGGTGGGACTTCAATAAGTTTAATTTGATTTGCTGCCTCACACAAAGCTACTGCAGAGGTCTGAATGAACAGCTGCCAAACAAAACCACAAGCTGCAAAACACACTTTCACATGTCGTGCAGCTGAAGACAGCCACAGGCTCTGTTGGACCCAAACAATAAAACATTGAGCTGCTAAGGGTCAGCGAGTCACTATAAAAGTCACTATAAAAGTGACCTTGTTTGTCATGATGAGTTTTTATAGCTGCTGGAAAATATAATAAAAGCACCCTCAGGTTTTCAAATCTTTGTTGTTTAATAAATGCTCCCTCCCACATGGGACCATGATGAGCTGGCATTTCACGACTTTTGTACCATTTGTCCCCTTCTGCAGCCTTTGGTTTATATCTGGGCTACAAGGCATATTCTCTGAAAAAAACATGGAATATCTGCAAAGTCAAAAGCATTTGTACATATCCAAGATGACTGAAAACCCTCACACAACCCTTTCCTGCAGACGCAGTGTGAAGGCCGATTCAAAGCCACAGCCCGATCTTGAACCAGCTCTATGCCTTTTGAAAGTCAAGGGAACAACTGCCTGGAGAGCAACATCAACACTTTGGGATTTTGGTGACCAATGACACCGATTACAACTTCGTGACAGTTTGATACTCTAACGAACAGGAAGCCAGGGGAGGGAGTGCAACACAGGTGTAATATAGTCCCTCTTGTACTTTGCTGTCAGGAGGTGAACAGCAGCATTTTGGACGAGCTGCAAGTGTTGAATTGAGGACTGGTGTAGGCCCACATACGGCTGTCAGGCCTGGAGGAGGACGGGCGGCATCAAAGGAACAGCGTTCGTTACAGACTCTGTCACCAAGACGGTGGAGCGAAGCCCATCGACGGATGAAGATCAGGCGGTGAAGTCAAGCTGGCAGGAATGAGGTCTACATAACTTGGGCCGGGTGCAGAAGCAGTCTGGCCAGGAAATTTAGATCGGATCCACCACAGGTGCAGGACAGCAGGGAGACAGTAGCTGCAGGCAGCTGGGAGACAGTAGCCTTCATCACAGAGGAGGCGAGGGGGAGCCATATCTGAGGATTTCCGGTAAGACTTGATCGAAACCAGCACACTGGCACGCTTTGCCCGTCTCCTGTGGGGCTTTTTCCAGGGACGGCTGCAGAGGGGACGGTGCAGGTAATCTTGATGTTGGACAACCACAGAGTGCCCACACCTCACAACTCACTGATCATCAACATCCCTCCATACCTCACGTACTTCCTCTGGACCTTGCCAATAAACTTGGACCACTCTGTCACGTATATACAGTAATAAGCCCATCGGGAGGTGACATCATTAACCCGAGCAGCTGTCCCGGCATCTGTCACGTTAATGAAGTGGAGTCATAAGAACAACACCTCATTGTCATTACAGAGCACTGAGGACCCAGGCTAAGAGACACAGAGCAGAGGTTGTGTGACACAAAGAGGAAATAAAGTGACATGATGAGGTGTGTGTTTGAAAGCAGCAACAATACTCAGAAAAATGTTTGGAATGAATAGGTGGAATTTCTCCTGCTTGACATGCTCAACATGCAGAGGAGACAACCGAAAATGTCCACTCCGTAAAAAATCCTTGATGACGTTTAATAAATAAACTGCACCATAGTTTTCTGCAGACATCAGATCAGAGTAGCTGTGAATGCTGCCCAGGGGGGTGTAATTATTTTCTCAAGCCCCTTTCTACAGGAAATTTTAAGCACAGCAGCCACAGTTAGTAAGAGATCCATATCCATACATACAAATAAAATGAACGTGCCGTCTTCCATCAACCCAACTTCCACTTGTGTGCAAATGGAACATCCCACCTGAGAAAATACCAAGTCATTAAATGTATAGGGGCTTAAAGATGGCTGAAATATCAAACCACACCATTACACAGCTGGTTGCAGGATGAATAGTGATGAGGCAATGTATCGTAATCCTCATTCTGATCTTTATCCATCTTGTTAATAAAAGACATGGACTTGGCTGGTCTGTTGGGGTTAGTCTAGCACATAGCCCAGCTGTTTCCTCTCCCTCTGCCTTAACAGGTTTTTCCAGCCTGACTGTCATACACCATTGTTCTGACTCTGCAAGTAATATGAGCCTGACCACAGACAATGAGAATAGTTTATAAAAATGCTCATTTGTCATTGTTGGTCATAAAGAGGCAGCAATTGATCAATAGGACAGTATCATAACCAGTTAAAAACTCCTTGTGATGTTGAAGTCACATCCACAACATACAGTAGATTTACACAGCCATGAAAACAATGACTTTCATTGCATCAATAGTCAAACGATCATGTGACAGGAACTGAATCAGAGATAAATCATACACTAACACTGAGCAGTCATTTAAACATATAGGGCATGTTTACCATGCATGGATAGTGATCAATATTTACACTGTAGATAGCTCGAGGATATAGAAGGTATCAATTACAAAAGAAACTGATGGTTACATTGATTTTCACGGCACATGAGCCATCACCATGTTACACCAGGCAGAGAGTCAGTTTAGTCATGGCCCTATAGCTCCTCCACTAATTTACCACTGAATAGAGAGGACCACAGAGGTCTTGTTGGCTCACTTCTTTCTAAATGAACAACCTCAGATTCTTTTCTTTCCAATTTGTAGTCACTGACAATTTACCAGACTTCACACAGCTCCCTCTGGAGTCACTCAAAGTTTCGGAGAAGTCCACTTAAAAAAATAGGATATGAATAACGTCTCGAAAAAAAAATCAGAAAGCAGCTTCAAAGCAGCAGAAAGACACAAATCTAAACCTCTGTTCAGATTTATCACAATAAACCAGGATGCGGACATATTAAACGGATAGTTCAACCAAAAATTAAATTTACTCATTATCTACTCACCACTATGGCGATGGATTGGTGGGGGAAGTGTTTTGTTTTTAGACTAATGTCCGCTGTGATACACGCGCAAAAGCAGCCCTGCAGGAGGATCACAGAGGACATTTAAACCAAAAACATGGTGTAAATTTCCATATTTTATTTCACGACCCCACCTGTATGTGGTCTGTTCAGTATTAGTCTGTGGTAAATTAGGAGATGAGGCCTCCTGCTGTGCTGTGTTTATTCCCTCTAAACTCTGGATGATAGCAATCTAATCCAGGATTACATGTTTGACAGTCTGCAGAGGGAAGACTTTGGTTCAGCTCCACTTTATGAAGACTACGTACAGGATGTAAAGTTTGAATGTAAAGCAGGTGAATTCCTGGCAGGCTGCTAGTACTCTGAGCACTTTAAGACCAAAGTAGCTGCTTTACAGCAGATCATAATTACATTGAAAGTTTGGATCTTCAGTAGAGAGAGGACATGGAGTGACTTTCCACATTTACAAACAGGAAATAGTGCGATATGGCCTGATGTAGAAATATAAACAAATCTATTAAATAGACTTTGAGATTGGACCCAAACCACATCAAATATTTTAGTTGCCTTGTAAAGAACAATAAAGTTTTGCAGTTTGTGACTGGATATCACCAGGGTGCACTCCCCAGCATGGTTATACAATGAGGTCAGTCAACTTCTACTCATTAAGAAACTTCTTTGAATGAACTAAGCTAGATCTTGCAATTTAAAAAAAGGACATTATGTAGCTTGAATTTTATGGCAAATGAGACCAAACATTGTTATGACGTGACCAACGGTTTGTGGGTTCCTGTTGTTGGTCCTATGCACCGACCTCTGAATCCTAACTGCATGTATGAACCTTTCCCGCTTGTGCTTAGATTTGCTCTGCACTCAAATATTTTGTTGCTTGGACAGATTTCCTGCTCTCTAAATATGTGACTCTAAATCTATTGCACCCACAATAAGGCCTGAACACTTGTTTCACATCAAAACCAAAGAAAAGAAGAAAAAGCACAAGAGCAGACGTTTCAGATACGCATCAAAGCAACATGAGCCAGAGGAGAAGAGCTGATGCTACAGTCCAAGAAATCTGAGTGCAAGCTTAGCATTTGAGCACAAAACAGAGCAAATGTATGTACACTATTTAAGTGTGAGGGTGGGGTTTTGAATGAAAGCATTAGGACACTTAAAGTATTACTGAAAAACTATGCTCTTGAATAAAGATAAAAAAATAAACATATCTATAGAACTCAGAAACAGCAGCAGTGAGTTTTTCCTTCTGCAAGCTACAGCTTGTCATTGTTCAGGGATCACGTGAGACTTGCCTGTGAATCATGGCGCACAAAGAGTTTTTCCTTTGACAAAAAAAAGGCTCCTCTTGTTTTTGTGGTCCAGCGGAACCTCCCAAGATGGGCCAGTCACCCATTTCATTTTTGCTTAAGTGTATAGAGAGAGTAAAGACAGTTGAAATCTAAAAACACGATCAAAATCAAGCAGAGAATACTCCTGTTTCTGATTAACTGAAGAGCTGCAAAGTGGAACTAAACCTCTCGACAAGGCAGAAGCTCGATGCTACTTTCCAATGAATCATTGCATGGCCTCAAGTAGAGAATGAAAGCTAGTTACTGCAATGCATTCCTGCTGTGTTACAGCTCCTGTCGGCCGGTTGCAGCTCGTTCCCTTCAGAAAGTAGCA